CCTCTAAGGCTAAATACTAATCTATGCAATAAATCTGAACAAGTGTGTTTAATGTTTCCTTTTTGGTTTTCCTCCCGTCCGTTTTCTAACCTTTTACTTTGACCTTGGCACAAAGTATTTAAAGTCCCATTAATTTAAAAAATCGTGTGTTTATAAGGATGGAAAAAAGTCAAGTTCAATTTTTGTATCTATGGCTCCGTCGTTTTCGCCAAAGTGTGTTTAAGTTACTCATCAGTCACTTGTGTCAACACTTCGAAATATTCGAATAAAATATTAATTTACAATCTGACTAATATCACCTGAATAACGTTAATAAAATAAAGAAACCCTGTGTGCTCTACGAGCGTTACTTCCCCCTGTTAAGTGTAGGTAGTCTTTGCGATTAACATTGGTGTACCTACTCAGTATCCTATATACGTAGTCATTGCTCACTATTATGTTTCAAATTGTAAATGTTTTTCTGAAGTGTCATATCAATAACTTAACATATACTTTTATAGTCCTCATACTTGCCATAGCCCTTTTGATACCTCCACCTATACCTGAACCGGCTGGTAACAGTCACGAAAAAATCGCCAAGGTAAAAGAAATACAGCAAATTCGTAAACACGAAAGTTTGGACCATGTTGATAAACCGACAATCGTCTCATGGTCAAGTAAATTTCTTAGAGACATAATTGGGGCACCTCAATATGTACCAGTCGAAATGTTTACCTGTGGTGACTTTATTTGTGATTATTATGACTATCCCGTTATGCTACCACACAATACCGTAGGAGCATATATATTTTATGGAGCCTTGATAGCATTTACAGATTTGCCTTTGCCACGAGAGCCTGAGAAAAAGATTTGGGGATTGTTCCATGAAGAATCGCCTAAATATATTCCAGACTTTATGTTCGAAGCCGGATTGAGACTATTTAATTATTCGAGCACCTTTAGCCGACACAGCGATGTTCCATTTCCTTTACAATGGCTTTCCTCGTACGATACAATTACAAACAGAGCATATTTTATACCGACATCTAAAAAGAATAATCTTCTTTCGGAAATATCTCCTATATTGTATCTCCAAACGGCATGTCAAGTACCATCTGAAAGAGACTTGTATGTTCGAGAGTTGATGAACTACCAAAGGATAGACTCATATGGCAATTGTCTGAATAACAAAGAAATACCGAAAACACTACAGGGTAAATACTGGAACAGATTAGAGGCAGACGATGTTCTTAAATTTGTGGCGAGATACAAGTTTGTTTTAGCATTAGAAAATGGAGTCTGTGATGATTACGTGACCGAGAAGTTTTGGCGTGCAATTCGCGTGGGTGTCGTACCCATTTACTTCGGAACTCCCACAATAAAGTTCTGGATGCCGAACGAGAAATCGGCAATACTGCTCCAGGACTTTCCAACACCAAAATTGCTTAGTGATCACATTGATAAATTGATGCAAGATGACGAACTATACGAGGAATATTTAGAGCACAAAACGAAGGGAATTATAAGGAATGAGAACATTTTAAAAGAAATAATGGCCAGGCCATATCAACACGAGGGAGAATCGAGCTTTAATCAATTTAAGTGCTTCATTTGCGACAAGCTACACAACTATGAAACAATTCCCAAGAATCGTCTAGTTAACAAGAGTCACTACAATTGTCCCACACCAATTTCTGTTTCGACTTTTAAAGTAAATCCTTCGAATTCGTTCGTTAGCGGACTGCATCATGTAAAATCTGATATAGAAAGAAATATACAGTTCATAAAAACTTTTAAAGGTAACACTAACTACGGTACCAATTAAATAATAATCTATGGGTCGTATTCCTGAACTCTACTCATTGCTCAAGTCAGGATCTGAGTATGATTTCAAGCACTGGAAATACGACCCTAATGGCAGGGACTTGAGTATGATTTCTAGTGCTTTGATTCATTCTCAAGTCCTGACTTGAGCATTGAGTAGAGTTCTAGAATACGACCCTATATGTCGTAAAGATTTGATGTTTTGAGATCTTACAGTCAGCATTAAAATGTAGTGATAAATAATCTAGGTGTAGGACATGTAGGTGATAAACGTAAATATCTGAATAATCAAAGGGCTCATAACATAATGTCATCAAACATCCATTGACAAGAATCAACAATGGTTAATTATTATTCGGTGGTTACGTACTGTGTACGTAAAAAAGGAAATAAGACAAAAATAAATAAAAAGTATTACAACAATGCTATTGTCATTTGGATTAAATATGTATTTTGTTATTTTTCGCTTTTTAGTGTCGTCACAGTGAGTTTTGTGGTTTATGAAGCTAATTAATTTTTTTTTAAGTTTTGATTTATTTTCCATTTTTAGTAAACTAAATAAATTATTTATCCGAGCACATGATAAAAAGGCATTATGAGAAATTGAAGGATTATCAAGATTTGTCTTAATCGCCGACCATATGGCGAAAAGGCATTACGAGAATTATATATATGTATTCAGGTGTTTGAGTCTGAGTCTCATCACTTCATGCTGCTGGGTTGACGCTAGGTCAAAGTCAAATATTTCTAGTCTAATAGGCCTGCTACAAGCTTTTTCGACAATTACCTACAAACTCTTGCCACCACCAGGTGCGGGATCTGCTCATACCTGTAGATCATTACGAGAAATGGAAAGATTAAAACAATTTTCTTGCACGTCCACGTCTATCCGAGAACCTTTGATTTGCGACAGTTCAACAAACACTCTGTACCTACATGCCTATAAAATTTGATTTTATTATTTCCCTAAATTTCTATGGAATCTCCTTATCAGATTCTGTTTTAGTGCGATACAAGTCTTGTAATAAAATGCCGAAACAATGCGACTATTAACACCAATATAAAGCACTGACAGTCGTAATACGTTGGATGGACATCAATGACTTGAATACCTATTGATATGGGTAAGTACAACCAAAATTATAACATTTAGGTCTTATACATCAAATCCTATACCGGTTAAAATGAATTAGAACTCTGTAGACGAAATAGACACATTTAGCTTTCATAAGATAACAATCAACAAAAACTTAACTGGAAGGAACACATCGAGCAGATTTGCATGAAGCTAAATAGATTTGTTTACGCAAACAAGAACCTGCGTTGACGACCTATCACGTGTACGTTTCGTCCGTGCTTAGCTACGGTCTTAAACGGTGTTGTAGTCTTTTTAGAAAGAGCTTTTAGAGCTCATTCAGAGTGGAGGCCCGGGCGCGGCGGCGGGGGTGCGGGCGCGCGTTTCTTAGCGTCTTCCCTTTCACAGTGCAAAAGCGGCTACAAGCGGGGTAGATCCACACGTCGAAATCGCAAACAGGACGCTAAACGCTAGGACAAGCACAGATCAGAAACAGACCTACCCGTGCAGAGCGTGCACCCGCGCCCCGTAAGTCTACCTCTCGCCACACCTCCATCCACATTCGCTCTATAAATTGGACCATCAATCTATCAATATTCATTCTTTCTCATGACATACCATTGAAGCATCCTCCTTTATATCATATAGCATATAATAACGACGAGGATTTTACAGTTTGCTTAATAACGGGGTCGCGAGGCATAACGGAGCTACTCACAGATCTAAGTAGCTAAATATGCTAGCAGTTACTGCTTTGCGAATAAGCAACCATCTTCAAACGGCGGCCAATACGAAGCTATTTTTGGTCATTTTTAGTAACCTGTTCATCATAATAGTCGCTCAAAGGCTTCATAAAACCAATATCCAAAGGCAGGAAGGAGTCTGTGCGTGCAATGTAGGGGGAAGCAAAGTAACAGTTGCAGTACCACTCACAGATTTAAATCACAACGTCCACCACTGCACCTGTCACTGGGATAAAGTTGACAATGTAACTGTAATTTCACCAGCACGCTTCAAAACCGGAACGCAGTAATGCTCACATCACTGCTTGGCGGCAAAAATAGGAATGGTAATTCATTTGCAAAAACCCTATACTGCCCCGTTTTTAGTACCCCGTTGTACTGCCCCTACCCTGGGGCTAAGGGATTTTCTTAGGATTCCAGCATAATTTTAAAAAAATATGGTAGTTGATTAATTTATTAACCTAAGTTATATGGCAAATTATTAGATAAGTACGTATACACAATGTACGTACTTAGCGACCAAGAATTGTCCAAACTGTTTTCCAGTAAATTCACTTAATTATGATGGTGTGTATTCCTAATACCACCAAAGTATCTGCAAATAAAACAAATGCGGTTCTTAAGAAAAGTCTTCTTACAATTTTTTATTGTAAGATTACAATTTTATCACTTCTTATTCATAACACTTAATAACAACTTCGTGTCGCTAATTTGCATTTTTGGCGCCTTTTATGCTTTTCAAGAGGTTTTAATGTCGGCTTTTAAGCTTCATCTTTTAGTGCATATTTCTTCTTATGAGCTACCGGTAGCTCGTCAAGCTGAACTTGCCTAGGTGTCATGTTCTGAACTAATGCGTCAGGATGCGTAACATGCTGCCTTGTCATTCAATTTATTTTCTTATATTTACTAGCTATTTCGCTAGCTCTAGTGATGACCTAGCAATCAAAATTCCTAAGCAGTTGGTGTGACAAGCTCGATTATTTTTCATTTAGGTATCAAAAAAGCAAATGCTTGACCTATCTCTATATCAGTGTTAATGTCATACATAATTAATATTTAACACCAATCAGTATAATCTACCTGTCCTTGAGCATCTTCTAGGACCTAAGCTACGGTACTGTGCTGCGAGATGCGTACAGTCGTTAGTACATTACGCTTTTTATAGTATACAATGCAGTTTACTTATTCTAATACTATAAAAGTTACTATTATATTCGTGGGACAGATAGTTGCTTGGCAAACTGCAACTGATGTATTCGATATGCTTTCGACTTTGGGTAGGTGCTGTACTGGCTTTATACAATTAATTTACTATAATTATACATAGGTACTGTAGAAAATAAAAGCGTTTTTATTTTGCCAATATTTTTTTTATTTCGTCAATCGTCACCAATGGTCGGAAAAAGATGTTCCACATACCTATATAGACAGATGTAGGTATAGATATAGCTACAAGGAGTGACATATAAGTGTTAAAACCGCCAAATATTAGTTAATTACTTTTTCGAATTTTGGAAATGGTTTTACTGCCTCGTAAGGCAAAAAAAAACAACTGACCTAGGAAGTCGAAGTTGGTTTTTTAAGATATTCTAATGGTCCATGTAAAAAATGCAGTAGATAACCTCACGGAAGATTTTGAAGTCCCTGCTGACACACCCTTTGACAGCCTCGACAACCAACCTATTCACACCTCATGATGTTAGCTTGAAGGATGGTGAGTTGTCTTACCTATTCTATACCCATAGCAGCATATAATGAGAAATGGTTTAACCAAATTGTGGCACTTAAGTAAGGAATATGTTTCCTTCTGAAATAAATAATTCGTACTTTTCTGTGTAAACAAAAATGTTCCATCAGTAATAACAATTGGATCTCTTTCTTCAATTAGACCTTCCGGGCTTTAGACCTTACTAAAGAAATGCTCAGCTAAATAAGTTTCTTTGAATAAGTTCCTTTCTTCAAACATGTGCTACATACATATCAAACACAAAATCCTAAATGTTTGGGTATGTTATTTTGTAGAAGAATTTCTCGGGCTTTAGTCATGTTTCCCTCTAAAGTTCTTCTTGGCATTCTAAATAATGCAGCAATCCTTTCGTCACTATCTCCAGTGCGCATTTTACACAGCAGAGCATTAAAACCACATTTAATATGTGGCACTTTCAGCCGTGGGACTTCAGATAATAACTGATTATATTCACTTTTGGTTTTCCCAAACCAATATTTGAAGAGATGATCATCTAAGTTTTCTGGATTATGAAAATCAATATTACTGTGCTCAGATAATAGAAACACTATCTCCTCAATATGTTCTGCTGTAAAAATAGATAATGTATTTTCAGCACTATACAATTCATGAAACAAATTGTTTGTAAGATGGAAATCACAAATTCTAGCATTGAGCGGTATATAGAAACTAAAATCTTTAATAATTCTTTTCCGTAGTGCATCAGGTATAGTTCGCTTCTCATGGTAATTGCATTCTATAAATAAACAACGACGAGATGTGTCAGCTGCCCTTCTTAATGTAGGAAGTGAAATACAAGCAGGGTTGATTGTACCACTACGTTCATTAGAGGTTGCTTCTTCAGGCACTGTGGGTGTAATACTTCGAAGCGGGTCCTGTTCAGTAGAAGTGTCTGGTTCCTCAACCTTTATTTGGTCTTCAACCTTTATTTGGTCCTCAGTCTTAATTGAAACTTCAGTAGCTTGGCTCGTGGAAGGTGCAGGTTCTTCAGTTTGATCAGTCACTCCTCTACTAACTTGTATGCTGCTGTCAGCAAGTCGTCGTGCCCTAAGCAAGCATGCCACACATGCTTTATCAGTAGGCAACAACTGAAATCATATTACAATAGATACAACTTAATTTAATGGACTAATAGACAACCACACACCAAAACAACTATACTTCATGCATATCCTGATTGGTAAGTGGTCCATTCCATTCCCATTTTGCTTGCTTCAATATTACCTTAATTATAATTCTGTATTATTTAAACAATTACTTACGACTTACCAGGCGGGGATTGATCCAATATGAGAAAACATTGGCAACCATGGTGTCACTGTCTGACATTTCTGGTCGTACAATCATACGACTCCTTAATCTTAATATGGATCTGCCACATCCAACACAAACATTCTGATGACCTAGTGGTTGTGGTTGTGTAAGATTTAATGCAGGATCACCCTGATCGTCTCGATGGATTAATTGCCAACATGTATGACAAATATGGTCACTACCAGATACCTAGAAACAAAAAAAGTCATAATTGTCAGATTTAGAATAAAAATGTATAGAAGAACATTTGTTCAAACAAAGCGCAACAACCATAATTTTAAGAAAAACATTATATTAGAATGTTCTCGTTTTGTTCCAGTAATTCACTTAAACACATAAACAAAAACTAAGATTTGCATTGCAACTGCAGGCTGCGTGTGACGCTGCCGCGGCGTTCGGGAGTAATTTACATACAAAATACAAATAAATCTGTAGCGCAGCTGATGTCGACTGTCTCGCAAGTGCCTTAACAGTTGGGTTGAAGTGTCAAGCTGTTAATTAAGGTGCACTTAATTAGTTTTATACACCTTAGCAACACAACAAGTGAAAGAGGTGGGCACTTACATCACGTGGATATACCCATCTTCTAACTCTCTCAACTATTTCATCACTTTCATCACACATGCGATACCGTCTCAGTCGTGATATACGGAGTGTGCAATTGACACATCGCAAAGACATGGTGATGACTGGTCGATGAATGACTCCAAAAACAATGTTCGAATTACTTGCAGAATCGTTTACCGCCACCAGTCTTGTGCCAGCGTCAGTTTAAGTAAAATATAAAAATTATGGCGATCATCGCTAATGTTAGTGAATAAAATTGTTTTAATCCACAGACCACTAATAATAACAAAGGTTCGAATTCTCGCACAAAATAAAGATTATTTATAGGATTCGGTTGGAATAACAAGAGTTTTGTTTTTTTTCCTATTTATCTTGGCTCTTCGCGGTAAGCGATTTAGCCACTTTCAAAGCTAATTTGTTAAAAAACTAATTTGTTTTTAAAATGGGGAAACTATTATAATATCATGGATTGTAATTTGGAAACGGGATTCGAAAGTTAGAGTTAATTCTTCAATAGAGTGTTATCGCCTTTTTCAAGAAGAGTCACCACGCTTCCATTCCACGCTTCTGGCGTAGAACCTCCCAGCAAGACTGAATTAAAGAGCCTCTGAAGGATTCTTAGTACCGGTGTTCCACCCGCTTTCAGAAGCTCGGATGTAATTCCGTCTTCACTCGGTGCCTTGCTGTTTTTTAACTGTTTCAGAGCCATCCTAATCTCGTACAGACTGATGTCCGGGATATCCTCAGTTAGTGTCGGGTGAGTTTGGCTCTAGAATCTTTAGAATCAGCAACAGGCTGAGTAATCCAGATAACTATAAAACCTCTCGATCTTTCCCAGTACCTTTGGCTTGGACGTTACAACGTTGCCATCCTCCGTCTTCAGCTTTGTAAGCCGACTTTGACCAATAGACATGTTCCATGCAAACTCTTTAGAGCCCTTGTTCCGCTCTATGATATCTTTAATATTATTGGTATTAAAGACCCGTATGTCGTGTCGCATGGACTTCCATTAGTGTCTATTGAGCTGTCTGTAGGCTTTAACCTTATCGGAAGACTGCAGCATCATATCGCGTCGATTTGCCATTAGCTTGAGAGTATGATCGGAAAGTTTCTGCGGCCTATCCTTGCGGCGGGTCCTGAAGAATTTTGACCCAACCGTGTGGACTGTTTCCACCAACCTGTTGCTAATCTCGTCTACAGAGACGCAGTCCTGTAGGCTAACAAGAATAATATTTAAGATTTATTTAAAAATACATTAAAAGCACTTAAAATGTTATCTATATTTTGGACAGGTATTTTTAAATAATGCAACCAAGATATTTGAAAACCTAGTTAATAATTAGGTACGTATATTCATTACTTATAATATTTATCAATACAAATTGAAAATTCGAGAACCCTTGTCTACTAGCTTTCTTTACTCATGTGGTTATGGCGTCTTATTATATTGATATAATAACTTTGTGTTATATATTACTCTGCACTAAATAGATGAAGAAAACAATAACGGAATGAGTCTTAGACATAAGTTTTTTTTTATTTACTTCGTTTCACCTTTCGGAAATCGAAAGAAACTCCTCTCTTTACCCCCCGTTTAGATGATAATAACGAGCCGTACACAGCACAATTCACGATCATTGTAAATAGTAACGTAAATGATATTATTTAATGACGTACAAGTTTCGTAATGAATAAATGAAAACTATATTCAAATATCAAAGCCTTAGGGTGTAGATGTAGTGGCGACGGGGCCGCGGGTTGAAGAGACGTGTCGGTGTGTCGTTGCCGCTCGTCCTGTCCTCTACTGCCGAATTTGTGCGATTGGCCCGTGCGGTGGGCGCTCCAAGAGACTCTCTTCGGAGAGTCCACACGGATGCGTGTAGGGTGTTGCGGCAGAGCATACCGACAGATCCGCCGCGGAGGCTGGGAAACCAGCCTCTGAACTTCACAGTTGAGGGGACGTTGTCCTGGCCCCCATGGCCCCTGGGTAATGGACACGGGGGAATTCGTTTCCCAGCATGGAAGGCTCCGAGATGGAAGGCTCGTCTGGTATTCGACGAGCCCTATATTTAGAGTCGGGGGACCGTTGTATCTTTCTTTAATTATTATTAACATTATTATTATAAATTAACATTTAGCTATTGAATTATAATCATAGGTACGCTATCCTTTTGTAAAAATATGTTAACAATTATTACAGCTATTTCTCGTTTATTGGTATTATTATTTATAGATTCGATTTAATCGAGCATGCATAATGTTAAAGTTTTCCATAATTTGCATTTTAAATTAGACCTATTTAATTTTACCAACTTTTTTATAAACACACCCAATTTAATTAATTAATATAAGTTTGTGAATGCTAAATTTATTCGTTTTTTTTTAGTTCCGCATCATAGGAACTTTTTGACCTAAGTTTTGATGTGTGTGTGTAATTACATGAATTCTAAGCATTATTTATTTCATATGATTGCTTGCATACTTAGTCTGTGTTATACATAAAAAGACTACTTTACTACATCACAGTAATAAATAAAAATTAAAAAAGTGGGCAATTTCTCATTCATGTGAGCCGGTTCCACGTCGCCTTAATTTTAAGAGAAGAAAAAAAATAATTAAACACTCGAGGAAATCGCAATGTTTCCCATCGAGGATAAACTCTAATAACTTACACGTCGAAAACATACCGTAATGTACCAATTTATTACAAATGTTTTCTTGGTAATACACAATGTGTTTCAATTCTTCTTATCAATAGTGTCAATTCAACTAAAAGCCTCGTAATACCAAAAGTTCATACCGCATCACCTTCACCCTTCGCACACGTGGGAAGGGGCTCCTGTCGGGTTGGAGTGTACACAGTGAAGTAACCTGTGCATCTCCGTTTTAGCAAAAAATCGACTTAAATACCAATTTCAGCGCTAGTGACTAAATCGTTCTCATTTATGTAAAGCAATCTGTCTAAATAAGTATTAAGTAATAGTTTTATAAACTTTATTGTATATCAATTAGACAAAGGGAACTTTAAAATCTATGCATTTTTATAACGGTCCAGCATATTTTAGACACTTGACAATTAAAAATATATCCAAATATCATTATTGTCACTCTCATTCTTGTCTACTTTTAAGTCAAATAGTTACTTTAAGCCAAACATTTACTTGAAATATAACAATTAGATGGTGATAGTGGTGGTGATGACGGTGGTGACGATGATGATGGTGGTGATGATGACGATGATGATTGTAGTGATGATGACGATGATTGTGATGATGATGTGAATGGTAATGAAGCTGATGATAATGATGATCATGATGATGATGTTGACGGTGGTGATGACGATATGTTGGATTACAACACAGTTTATATGACATTGACAAAATACTTATTTAGATTTACTTATTAATTACATACAGATAGATAGATGAGATTACACGGATGAGCAGGATTTTGATACAAGAAGTTATATAAATATATTTGTTGTTCAACATGTTAAATGTTGTTAAATGTTCTTTTGTGAACGATAAAATGTGTGTTGTAATAATAATTTCTCATTTATGTTTATGAGAAAATCATTCGTGTTACTGCAATCTCATTCGTGTGACCTAAAATATCGTTTTTTGTTGTATTTAACTTAAATATTTCTGCGATTTTATAATTATTGACATTGCTTGAACTTATTTGTACGTTTAAGACATTAAAACCAAAAGAAAAAGGGTTTTACAAACATCACTCAAAAGTGCCATTGAAATTCGGAAAGTGAAATTCACCCTCATACACACAATAATACTGATAATAATATTGCTTTTACTATAAATGTACATAAACTTGGATTGCTAATAATATTGTATGTGTGGGGTTAGCAGTTGAGCTGTCGGAAAGAAAAAGGCAGTCTTTGCTGTCTTTTGTAAAGAAATTTTTCTTTCTTTGTATATCGTTTGTTTTGTTTAAAGAATTTCGTATGTGTAGGCAAAACAAATAATTTGCCTGACAAAAGGCGCCATCTGTGAGGGTCCATCAAAGACTTTGGACCTTTCTTATCGCAAGATTCATAAATGTTCGTCTTGACATTTTCTAAAGCCTGTACTCTGTACATATGTAATAATGTAACTAAGTAGTAGTACATTGCAAGCATGATTCTAAGCGTTTGCATCGATATGCGATGTTGGTAGATACGTAAAAGCGTCATAAAGTCAGAATACGACTGGTTATGGTTGCCTAGTACCTATACTACGGCACAATAAGTATTATGATTTGACACACATGACACCTCCATTATTGACCTTTCTTTTTTATTATCCACTCCACCTTTGAGGATGGAAAAAATAATAAAAGAACACTCCACCCTGAGAAAGGAGACACAACGGTCCCCCGACTCCGAATGTAAGGCTCGCCGAACACCAGACGAGCCTTTCATCTCTGCCCCTCTATGCGGGGCAACAAACTTCCCCGATTCCGCTACCCAGGGGCCAACTTCATTTATATATGATGGATAGTTTTTCTCTTCGTGGATGTCCTTTGAGCCAACGACAATATTTATAATTTTTTACCTTTCTCTAAAACTCGTAGCCAACGATCGTATGCTCGTAACAAAAGAAAAATTCACTAAGATTGGGCTATATGGCGTTAAACTTTGCCCTATCGGTAACGCTTTAAAAAATAACTTTACGAGAATTTCGGATTGTTTTAGAGTTGTAAGACCAAGCTTACAAATTGATAAAAAAAAGCTAGGCTCAACTGACACTGACGGAAAATCGAAGCATCGCGAGGTTTCATGTTTTTTGCCTATGGCATATTCATCTCTACTGTCCCATTATTAAGATACGAATTTGTGTTATGCAAATAGGGAATCGCGCGTCGACGCTCCACGACGCGCGCCTTCATGCGTCGACGCTTGGTTAAAGTCGAGCGGTTAAATACGCTGCTCGTGCGCAATGAGGTGTCAGACGCCGATTACACCAGACGTGGCACAGTGCCGAACTGCGATGAGATGAGTGCGCGACAATGGATCACGACGAAAAATTAATTTAGTTAATCCAAAAATATGAATGTTTATATAATAGGTCCCGGCACAAATTGTTACTACAAAGTATTTAGAATTCGCCAAGTATACGTCTTTTTTCCATAACTCGAACCCAAAATTTTCGTTTTCTTTTTCTCCCTTCGACTTCTGATATAATTTCAGTTTCTTCCTCTTTAGCTTCAAATATAAGAGCAATTATAATAAGATCGATATCAACCATTGTATACAGTCGAGCACGAGCGCCATTCACGAATTTTCAAAAGTCTCTGAACTGGTCC